TTTGACCTTCGCCTTCGTCAGCCCACACTTTAACTATGCAGTTAGAAAATTTGAAGTGCACGTAGTTGCAGCTTTCTCGGATCATCTGTTTGTTTGTTTGCAGCACTTAGTCTCGCTCCGTTCTCCACTGGTGCTGCCTGTGATTTGCTTTTCCATGCGATTTTAAGTTACATAACAATTGTTATTTTCGAACCTTTTACTGTTTTTTGTTATGGACGATTTGCGGCCTTCTCCTCTCGGAACCAAAAAGCAGTAGGTCTGCTCAACATCTGTGCATCTAACTCCTGTAGTTGGGATGGTCACTACGAGAAAGAATTGGAGAACTTTGTCGAATTTAATGACGCAGGCGAAATTTGGTATGTTTTTTTTTCAGTGACGCTCTTATCGAACCAATTAGGTTCGGTAGGATTGGTGAACGACGCATCATCGAGTACCTCTCAGGTTGTAGCACACCTCTTGATTCAAGGATATTAGATTTAGGATGCGGTAACGGCCATTTTTGTATTGAGCTTGTAAGAGTCGGCTTTTTTGCCATGTTCATTTGAAGGTGAAGCACGGATACATATCTGTCATTGGTGTTGACTATTCTGAGACTGCTATTAAGCTGGCGCAGATGGTATCGGCATCTGCACGATTTTCAGACCGAACAAAATTTAAGGTATTTGCGCTGACTTCTTTTTCTTATCGGTAGGCAATCAAACTAATTGTATGGGAATATTCTATTTGGTGTTTCATGAATTTGCGTTTGATCTGCATTCCCACTAAATCTTAAGACGAGCATGTCCCTTTTCATATTTTTCGCAATTTAGTGTTTGGACCTGCTGTCTCCAGAGTCTGTTCGTGATTTTGCTTCCCAAGAGGGACCCTTTGATGTTGCCATTGACAAAGGCACCTTCGATGCTGTCACTTTGACGCCAGACGATGCGAACTCTCTGCGGGTTTCAGAGATGTCTCGAGACCTTTATTTGTTTAACACGCACCACCTCCTTCGCCCTGATGGCATGGTGGTGATAACTTCTTGCAACTGGGCCGCTGATGAGCTGCGCCGGGAATTTGAACGCATCCGCGAGGGAAGAAATCAGCTCTTTCAATTTACCCACGAGGTACCTTCGTTAAGTTCATTCACCTTTGGTGGTGTGGCGGGTGTTAGCAGCGTCTGTTTGGTTTTTAGGCGTCTCGATTGAACTATTTTTAACTGCCTTTTTATTCATAAAAATATTTGAAGGTATTGTTATCAAGAAGGTAGAAATGTCCCATTAAAAATTTGGCAATTGTCATGGGTTGTTTTCAAAAAACTTCAAGGCACTTCGAGTTAAATTTGTTCGAAATAACCATTTTTCAGGTACATCTCCGATCTTACATTACTTGGTGATGCAAAAGAGCTCCACTTCTCAAAACCTAAGAGTTGGTGTGCGTAGCGTCGATAGATAACATTCAGCTGAATTGGTTCGGTTGTTCAGCTGTTGTCTCCCCTTTTCTTCAGTCTTGGGGTTCTGTTTGGACGACTTACCTTAGAAGTATCTAGCGATCTCTAGACTAAGGTGTTACTTAAATGGAAGTAGTATGGTGTCAAAATTTTCGTGTGAAGATAT